ACCGAGAGTTTTTTGAATCATCGAATCCGTGGGACTAAGAGTGACTAGAGAGGGGGCCTTCTCGCTTGGTGCAATAGAATTCAGTACAGTCTCATTGTTGCAAACCCATTTATGAAGTCGAAATCCTCCACGCATTAGAAGACTCTGGAGCTGTTTCACTAGCATTATGGCTTCACTCACATTTTCTACGGATACCAAGCAGTCATCGACATAGAAGTTGCGTTCCATGACTTTCACTGTTTTCAGGTCAAAACACTTCCCATGATCGTGTGCAACTTGCTTGAGGGCGAATGCGGCACAAAATGGGGAAGAGGTTGCTCCGAAAGGGTGCACGTTTAGTTGGTACAGATTTGGCGACGCATGGAGATTCCCAGACGGATACCAAAGGAAGCTCATCGGAGCCCTATCCTCAGGAGCTAAACGTACTTGCAAGAACATTTCTTCTATATCTGCCACAAGAGCGATTTCATGTAACCGAAATCGCATAAGTACACCCATTAAATCGTTCGTTAACACTGGACCGGAATAGAGGCAATCATTTACAGAAGGGCCTCCGAACTTTGCCGCAAAGTCGAAAACAATTCTAACCTTATCCGGCTTTTGAGAACTCAGAACCGGGTGATGTGGGACGAAACGTACCTCGTTTGACTGATGCTCCAGTACCCTGCTAATGTAGCCCTTTTTCTCGTACGTTTCCATTATTTCGGCGTATTTACGCGACAGATTCGGATCTCTTTCGAGGCGTACTCGCAGGTGATTTAATCTTTTCTCTGCCAGGTATCGATTAAAGGGTATCTCGCGCCAGTTTCTCTTCCAAGGTAAACGAAGTTGATAATGATTCTCCACGACAGTTGCGGAACTTCGAACGGATTCTAGGGCCAACTTGTCCTCCTGGGAGTTCGCCAGATCAACTCCTTGGTTATCCTCACCGAATTCGATTTCAAAGAGTTTGGCAATTTGCGACTGCATCGTTTCCTCCGTAGCTAGACAGTTGACAGATCTTGCTGCAGACCGATCCTCTCTCGCAGGCCCGAGCAGTACCCATCCTAGAATTGTTTTCAATGCGTACGGTTGTCGGGAATTTCCGATACGTTGATCTTGCACCCAATGCGCTTCCGGAGTGTTCGTGCCAATCAGCAGATCAACAGTTTTATTTTGGATTTTCTGGAAATGTACACCCTTTAAATGAGGCCAGCACTTCATACTTTCGGGCGGGTAGTAAGCTGCTTGAATCGGCAATGACTCGAGCGTGTAGGCCTTCTCCACTTGCAGCTGATGATCGCCATCTAATGACTG